AACTTTATTTATAAGATAATTTTTATTGAAATAAAATTTTGTTCAGGTAACACCTTTAAATTACTAAAAATGAACTCACTTTATTATTGTATTGTATATTATTGTATTGTATTCTTGTCTGAAATGAAATGAAATGAATGATTTATTCAACATAGATTATTATAAAATACTTATTGAAAGTCATTTTTTAATTTACCACTGGTTCGCAAAAAAACCTCTGTCCTGGGAAGAACCAGCAAGAAACGCAGCAGTAATTTTTTTTATTGTTTCTTTTGATGGTGTGGTAAATTCTGAACCTAACATAAAGTTTACTATAGCTGTTGAGGAGTTCCTTCGTGAAGAGACTATCCTGTCTGCAGCAGCATTTTATGGTGAAGATTATGTTTAGCATACAAAAATAAATTTAACGACACACACGTCCAGCCGGAAATACTTGGAACAGCTTCATAAGACCTTAAAACATGGAGATCTGATGAAAACTCGCATTCTCAAAATCGGACCAAAATCTACAACTTTCTACTCTTGAAAATTATATTTTTCAAAATGGAAAGTTAATAATAATAATAATAATCTTTATTGATAAACATATTACATGCACAAAAATTACAGTGGTCATTAGCCCCTAAACTAGGATATAATATTAACAAGTATTATTTAAAACGTAAAATGTATGACAAAGAAAAACAAATTAATGTTGGCACTTTTGCAAATGTGTGTGTGTGTGCGCGTGCGTGCGTGCGTGCACACACACACACACACACACATTTGCAAAAGTGCCAACTACTGCAATGACCGAGATGGATTTAAGCACCTTATTCAAATTCATTAAAACATATGACGGTAGTAGAGAGACCGTAGATTATTTCATAATTAATTGCAATAATGCTTATGAATTAGCCTCGGAGTCTCAAAGACAAATTTTATTTAAATATATTATTAGCCAGCTTCAAGGTAAAGCGGAAATTGCTTGCTCCATAAAAGACTTTAAAGATCGGGAACAGCTCAAAGACTTCTTAAAGACACAATTTAGTGAATGTAAAAACTATGCTCACATTCTCACCACAAGATCCAAGAGAGCAAGTAAAGTCCACATGAGAATGTTAACCAATTCGCACTCCGTATACAAACCTGTCTTTCACAATTATTAACAGAAATATCCTTATGTAATACCAAAGCGAAAGAATTACCAGGTCGGGTTGCGGCCATGGAGGACACGCATTAGAGAGAGTATAAGGTTATATAATTATTACTGGTGGAAATTTAGTTCTATGGTGGATTTGCCTTGTATTATTGATAGTAAAGTTATCAGCCGGTAAATAGGTATTGATATATTAATTTGTTTATTATTGTATACTTTGTAAAGGAGAACAATTAAAGAATGGTTCTTAGAAAACTTCTTATGACACGTTGGACACTTTTAACAGTCACGCTCAGATACATAAAATTGATGATAGTAATGTTGAAAATCTATCTGATAAGTATTTATATATATGTTCGTATCATATAGATAATAATGATTCTTTAGCATGTAAAACATTGCAAGAAATAAAAGTTTTATTACTATATTAATGCTTTGATAAATATAATTTCTAATAAAAATATTTTCGAGCCGACTTATTAATGCTATAACCATAATGCGGATGCAGTATGGCTCTCACACCTATAAAAAATTCCTAATGACAAATCAAAATAGTAAAAACTACCATAGCAAACATGCATAGAAACTATGGTAAATATGGGGGATTATGAGACACAGTAAAAGGGAAATCTATTAGACTTAAGTAAATACGTGAAAAGTTTTTAATAGGTTGCGATATAACCATCACTTTTCATATTTCAAATCATCTTTGGTGTAAAATAGACCACAGATTGGTGACCAGAAGCATCGGTAATGGTATGTGACGTGGGATAAAACTCATGCACTGCTGCATGAGCTTAATCCACGCTACGTTGTTTCAGTGCGTACTGGCGTAGATCAAATGTTCTACAATTAATATTTTTAAGTTCTTAGAAATGCAGTGGGGTAGCCTCAAAACTGAATTAAATCAATATTAACACAACTGTCGTGGGAGTCGTTAAAGTTGAGATATGTTATTCTTATTGACAGGGGTAACCCTCTATCTAATGTAATAAATATAAATGATTATGAAATCTGAGTTGTTTTTCTTTCTAATTTGACTCAAAACTTTCACAACGGTGAATGAAAATATTGCAAGGAATTATTTCCAAAGTATTTTGAGGACAAAAGAGATGCGTCAACTCACATTGCAACTGCTTGGCGGATTCTTCCTTATATATATATATATATATATATATATATATATATATATATATATATATATATATATATATATATATATATATATATATATATATATGATTGATCGTGCAATGTTTCTCAAGTAATTTTGTATTAAATTTAGGGAGACATTTTGTTTAATTAAGAAATAAAATACATCTAAACTGTGTTATATATTTACTATTTAAAAAAAGAAAGGATTTTAATACATTAAAACAAAGAATATCAAGTTACCAACTAGCACTATGTAACAATGTATTTCAATTAAGCTTTAATATAATACAACTTTGATAATAATATGTGTAACCTGGAATAAAAATTTACATAATTTGTACTTATCTCTAATCTATATCGAATATTTTAGCAATTCTTCAAAACTGTTTTATATATGGAAACGATAAGAGCTAATAATAGAGTATTAACAATATAGGCTGGTACCACAAAATGCTACCTAACGGCATTAGACTTAGTGAAGAGACGTATTACGGCTTATTAGTAACCTTGATTTAGCTAGAACCAATCTTGTTAGCCTCGAGCACAGGCGCAGAATAGCTAGTTTCTCGGCATTTTATAGGATGCATTTCGAAGATAGGGCACAAAAATGACAATATAATTACAATATAAATTCCCCCTCACATTTCCGCAATCGGACAACCAGGTGGTCGACGGGTCTTGACTTCTTTGTTGTTGATATTTCACGCATTCAATTTTTTGGTTCGCTTTGTCTTTCGTAATGCGTACAGCAAAGAAGTTGAGTAAGCTGCCGGCGTCGGTCTTCTCATTTGACTACAATCTAAGCGTCTTCAAAGCAAGAGTGAATAGGCTTTTGTCATGCTAAATCAGTTCGATTTACCATCTAAGGCTGCATCACCACCTGCCACCAGATTGGATTGTAGTAAAACCAATACTATATAGCTATATAGGCTATACAGGCTATAATAAGCAAAAAATGCGTTGCTGTGTTGAATTATCTTTTTATTAAACATAGAAGCGAATTTAAAAAAGTTATAAAACCCCTTCCTTGTTTACTGAACGAGTTAATCAAGTAATCACAATTGGAGCTTACTCATTAAATTATTACTTAGAATGAGAAAGATACAGGCAAAAGTTATTACATTATGATCAATTTTATTCATATCGATAACAATAAAGTTGATAAGCTATTTACATTACGAGGCGTATTGCGTTTAATTAAAATTTATATATTACTAAAGTTATGAACAGTTTTTTGAATCTTTATTAGAATTAGTCGCTTCACATCATCATCATCATTAGAGCCCTTCAAAAGTCTATTTCTAAACATAGGCCTCCCTCAAAAAATGTCACAAAGCACAGTCTTGAGCCACCTACATCCATCGACTTCCTGCCAGTCTTACCAGGTCGTCACTTAATCTAGTGGGGGTCAGCCCTACACATTACATTACACACATACTACTATATCGCCTACTAGATGATAGAATTCCTATTTTACTCAGTCCGTCTGGGTAGATACCACTCCCTTATTTATTTCTACCGCCAAAAACTAAATAAAGTCTGTATAACTACAAGCTGTGAGGTATTCTATCATAGTCTTCATTGGTGACAACACATAATTTTAGTCTTATTTTGTCAATACAATGTTATAAAATATATATATTGTACATATTGTATTCTCATACTTTGAAATCAATTCGGTTGTTACAATAAATCATCACAATATAGTTGTTCCGTGGTTCAAGAAAAATTATCTCAGAAATATATACTATATTGTTTCAATTTTAATCACATTAATAAAAAAAATCGCTTACGGCCAAAATTATGTTGATGACGGTTATCTGTCCCAATGTGAATTTTAACAGGATTTGTTAACTATTTGTTAACAGCAGAAAGACCATCGTCCCAATCGACTTATATCTGATGTTATCATGTATAGCGAGAGGATAACTTGGCTGCAGCGTTATAGGCAATAGAGAGACAAATTTATATCCAGTTCCGAAAAACAACAACAGTCATGAACAGGAACTATATACGTAAGTCGGTACGATTAATATACTGGAGCTTTATTTAGTCTACACAGGAATGACGTCATGTAGTACAGTCAGTAAATTCACTCAGTATGTACTACTACTAGTTCTTTTTTGACAAGGAGTCTGTTTATTTCTTCCTCTTTTTTATTTTCCTGCCAAACAATATTGCTAGATTGGCTTGGTTTAGAAAGGTATAGAAATCCAGTATATTAATAGGCATTCCATCTTGGTTCTCGGAGGTGACAATGCATCTATAGTATCTTTGTTGAAGTTCGTTGCAGTTATCCACGGACTGCAGGAGCCATTTACCATTAGGTGTGCTGTATTATAAAATAATATACATACATACTTGACTTATTTATCACAAACGTCATTGAAAATTTGACAAGGTTTTTGAGAATAACAATTTGTCACCGACTTATAACTACTTAGTTTCGAGGTTATAAAAGGTACCTCAGTTTACATTATCAGTAACTGCGTCTTCGCTAACCCAGATTTTATCAAAGACGTACAAATAACTTTAAAAACATCTGAGGATTTAATATGATAGCATTGAAGATTCATTATTAATAGCTTATCGAAATAATGTAATTTCAAAGTGATATTAAAATTTGATACCATGAGTCCACATTTAAAATCTATTCAAATTCGACAATTTATTCTTTATGTTTATTCTCTTATGTTGGAACTACATTTTAACAGCCCCACATAACTCTACACTGCGGTTTATCTGGGTACTTTTGCTTGAACGTGCCAATAATACTCAAGTAATTTTTATTATTCAAACGTTCCGCATTATTATGTCGAACGATACTCTTCGTGACGGCAGCATGGCAAAGGAAGCCTCCGTCTAAGACCACCATACGATACTCTTGCAGACATAATTCCAGCATCTAGTGAAATAAATATTACTATTCAGTAATTGTTGTGAGTTTAATTTTTAAACTAAATAATTCTAACCAAATAACTAATTAATTCATCGTAGCCTGATCAAAAGTCCCCTTCATAGATTGCTTCATAGAGCATCATCATTTCAGTTTACTTCTGTCAACTTTTATGACTGCCTGATTGTTCAGGTCATTTATTTTCATTGCAGTTGTTGTAATAGTACGACTGCTGATCATGAGGTTTTGGGTTTGAATCCCGGATTGAGTCAAAAAAGTCAGTTTTGAGTCTTTTCACCACGAATATCTCAGTAGCTATCCGGAGCCTGAAAGTGTCTCAACACCGTGCCTAGGAACACTTTAAGCCGTCGGTCCTGCGCTTATTATTATTAATAATTATTTAATAAATAAACTTTATAAAATCATATCTTAGTCTAAGGTAATTTAAAAAGGATGAATTTGTGGATAAAGTTTTACTACAAAAGTAGTATCTAAATAACTTTGGATCTTTCAGACTAAAAATGGCAATTTCATAAGTAAATTACTCTCTACCTATTATTAATAATTTGTTGATTGTATAATATGTAATTTAATCATTCAGTAGCTTTACCTGCGTCATTTTGTCTTGTCTCCCTTCCCAGGACAACGTTTCGCTATACCATGGGTCTCTTTGAGTACCAAAGTATAAGGGTTCCCATCTGTGGTAAGGATATTCTCGACGAGCAATTAGCATGGGCTGTAAAAAAGTTATTTTGAAATTTTCAGATTTAGAAATTAAAAATTACACACACACACACACACACACACACACACACACACACACACACACACACACACACACACACACACACACACATCTTCCATATATATATATATATATATATATATATATATTTATATATATATAGTGAAGTGTTACTTCGCTATCATATGATATCATTAACACTTTTGTACTGTGCTGCATCTGTGATTATCAAATACGAGTTCCATCAAAGTACATCAAAACCTAACAACGTTAAAAAGAGGGCCGATGTTAACGTTTACTACCGCGTAATTCTACCATTGTGCAGAAACTATTCAGATTTTGGATTCAGATTTCAGATTCAGATAATCTATTCAGGTGGGGTGGGACTATTGTCTTTTCTTTTTCTGTGTCATGGACGCAATTTACAAACATAAATTGCACAAGTACAAATATCCAAATTCGAAACAATTATTTTTAGGCCATAGAAATATTTGTTTCGCGTGGGGTTCAAACCCACGGTGCTTAGCGCTGCAACTCAATCCTAAGCAATTATGTTAAGGAGACGGCAAACTGATAGACGGTCTGGTAATAATGTCCTCCAGGCCGAATGTCGGTCACGGCGGCCTGCCTCAACGGAGACTAGCCATCGGCGCAGGATAGAATTATAGTGCCCTAGTGTACGCGCAAGCACAAGTGCACTCTCCATTCCCTCACTCTCATAATCCGATGGGACGGTAAACCGACACGACCCGAGAGAGATTAGGCGTAGGACCAAAAGCTTTACGTGCTTTTTCGAGGCACGGGGGTGAGACACCGCCAACTTCCTGACTCCGGGCTGCTACTGTGAATTTCTTGACGGAAAAGCTCAATTTTTCGGCCCGACCCGGGATTCGAACCCGGGACCTCATGATCAGCACTATTACAACCACTAGACCAACGAGACAGTCATATATAGCTCTGGTAATACTGCTGTTCTGTTCTGTGACTATTCTTCATGACGTACATTTACTAATACATTACACATTACATTTCACAGTACATTTACGGAATAACTTTTTCTTCATCTTTATCATTTTCACCCGCATGCGGAACGTCCTGCTAACCAACGAGGCTTTGGTGACCAAATCATTCTCAGGCCGTACATTCTATTTTAAAATGCCTAAATTAAAATCCACATAATGTTACGAGGGCATTTTGGAGAAGTGTGTTGGAAGGTATTCTGCTCTTACCAATTCGTATGCCCAGATCGTTACGTAAGTAAGCTTTTCAAGGTATGTATACATGCTATACTTCGTGTATTTTAAAAAAGGCTTATGAGTTGCAGCCGATTAAAAAATAACTGTGAAGATGTTTTGATTGATTTCCCACCACCAGTAGGTCGGCTAAATTTCGTTTATCAGTTTTCAATCTGGTAAGACACACCATTTGATAGTTTCGAGTGGAGCGTAGCAAAAATATTTAATCAATAATTAACTTTAATATAAAGAATTTCCGCAAAGTCATTACGCCGATTTTTTTAAGAAAAGAGGGGGCAAATAAGTATGCGGCCCACCTGATGGTAGGTGACTACTGCCGCCCATGAACAACTGCAACACCATTGCAGATGCGTTGCCAGCCTTAAAAAAAAAGGTTGCTTTTTTTTTAAACGTAAGTTTTATACGGTTTCGGTCGTATTGTTCTGAAAATCACAGTAAATCGCACAGCGGTGGACCCACAATTATCCATATAGTATGCATAGTTTCGCGAGTTTTGTCGCGATGTGTGATGGTGAAATTTAGCAGCTGAAATTAGTGCGAATAATTACTATGAGCACTACCCTTGTTAGATGTGATAGAATGTCCAAAGAGATTCAACATCTCTTTGTGGCGGCAGTAAGTAGAGCGGCAGAGCCACTCAGCACAGGACGCAATCAAGTGAATGAAGTTGGCACTTGAGTGCCCCGGCCAAGAGATGAGAACAGTATTCACACGTGTTAGAGGTTAATAGAGTTAATAAAGGTCTTCCTTGCCAAGTGATTGCGGAACTGAACGTCATTCGATATATCGACTCCGAGAATTTCGATCCTAGCTGAGGCAGCTGTAGGAGTGTCCTGAAACTGAGGAGATTCGACAAAGGCGATTTTTTTGTAGTAAATCCGCAAACTTGTGTCTACTAGGTATTGAAATGGACTTGTTCTGTCGCTCCCAAACCGAGACTTTCAAAAACTCGACGATTCTATTAAATAATCCTAAATTGAAAAATTCTTAAAATTTATGAAATTCATAACATAATATGTATAATAGCACAAACCTCTATAACGTTTGTCGACGGTCTTAGTAACCACGATTGTAATCCAGGAAATCTTTGACAATGTGAACACACTTTTTGATGAAAATAAAATGCTCGGTTGGCAGCTACTAAACGTACTAAGCTGCAAACATACATCACGTAGTATAAACTTTCATATCATATTTAAATAAATGTTTACTCATTCCTTAACATTTGAAAAGTCCACTGTTGAATATATGGGAATGTCATTAGGGGAAAATTTGTATAGATCAGTTGCCACACTTGACTATCAATTTGACAACCTCGGCCGGGTAAGAACCACTATCGCAACCCCTTTTTACTAGGAACGAGGCATTCAATCTTAGTAGTCAGTAGTTACATTCCATCTGTATTTAGATTGCTAATTAAGAATAGATTTAAGTGTCTACAGGCCACAGCATCCACTTACCATCAGGTGAATTCTGCGCTCGTTTATCACTATTATTTCTGAAAGAATCATAAAAGAACTTTAAATTTTTAATCGGAAAATGACAAAAATGTTGATAAAGATGGTTTAAACTTACGAATTTTTGTCACGTGGAATTTCTTCCCCCCTTTCCACCTCAAATAATGGAACAACGAAAATAGTTTTTGCGAATATACAACCTTCATCTCTCTTTTTATCACCCATTAATTTTCGTACCATTTTTAAAAATTTTGTCGCCAGACCGTCACTTGGTACCATTTCTATATCCGATACCATAAAATAGTTTGTTTTAGAAGCATTCCTAGCGGTATTTCTTCCGACATTTATAGGATAAATCATATTATTTTCTCGTCTAAATGTTGCTATATCAAAGTTTTCTAAGCCCGAACAGTCATTGAATTTTATGTTTGGTAACGTTGTCTTTTTATTAGGCATTCGCTTCATCATTCTCTCTATTTTCTTTTTTCTTACCCACTGTATATATTCTGCTCTCGTTTTGTTGTCTAGTTTCTTGTACATTTCCATTTTATTTCTCAAAATTTGCTCTGGTGTTATGTTTGCTGGTGTGGAAGGTACAGGAGTAGTTAATAAAAGCGACACAGGTTTTTTTGCTATTATTAAAGGCGGATAACGTTTGGGATAAAACAGATGTAAGGAAACTTTAGACATGCCAAAGTAACATTGGCAGAGCTGAGTCATTATTTGCATAGTAATATCTAGATCATAATTAGGCACAAAAACTGAGAGACTTATTGGCCCATCCCAAAATCGGGCAATCTCTACGACATGGTAGATGAACTCCGGTGTTGCCTGCGTTGCATAAGTTACTGCATCGTATTTACTTTTATTTGCGTATGCGGTACCTTTAATTGCATTGTAAATTACCCTGTACGGTCCTTTTACTCCACTCTCTGGAGAAGGGAGTATCTGCACAGTGTCCCATTTGAGCATTTTTGGCAATCCATATTGGAACTTACAGAAGTTTGAGCTCTCATTAGGATGTATATTTTTCAAAAATATACCTGGTCTGTATTCAAAATCACCTACTTTTAAAGCGGAACGATGATTGTTTCTGTGTCTGTAAGTATAAGAATGAAATATGACAGTGAGAATGACTATGAATCCAATTATGAGTAAAATTGTAGAATGTTTTCTTGTTAGACGGTAAGAGTACGCTCCAAATATCCGTAAGCATCTCGTCATTTCCGTTTTTCATTTTATTAATTTAATGTTCCTTAACAATAACTATTAAATTCTTTGTCAGGTAATATACATATAACATATTTCGTCAGATTTTTACACTTGCTTATTTGAAAGTATTTTTACAAATACCTATAGTTTTTTGGTTATGAAAACAAACCATGTTTTATGAATTTCGTGCCTTAAAAACCTACTTTTCACTTAATCAGGATGAACTTGGTTATTGTTCTGCTTTTCTTGTTTTACAACACGTTATTCGGACACTTCTTTACACTGTCACATGAACCGATAGAAAGTTATATCCTTATTTTGAATTAAAAATATAGAATTTAGACGTAAACAATAATTGTCATTGAAAATATTTATTTTTTGACCGAACAGAACTTCGTTTTGACAGATATTGCGCGCGCTGCCTAGTGGCGCAGGGCGCGACTGAATAATAATCAATACTAACTTTACAGCAAGAAAACCTGAGCGATGCAAATTCGTAATTTCAACACGTCTTTAATTTCATTTGCATGTAGTCATTTCATGTCAGTATAAAAATAAAAACTTTACATATGTATATTAGCAGACCAGACGCTGTTAAATTCGTATTTTGAAGTAAATAGGAAAGGTTTTTGATAGTTCAAATATCAACAATAGTTTACGTTTTTAGGTATTTTTGAATTTTATTCTAATGTTTTAAAGGGTGTTTATGGGTGTATGTTTTTTTTTATAGAAGTAGTACGACAAACAAGCACACAGTCCATTTGATGATAAGTGGATACTGTGACCTATAGATATCTTTATTTATCCTCGATTAAGTATCTTGAGGAATAAGATAGAATACCTAGTTTCCAGCGAAAAGGGTCTAGGTCTTTATATGAGTTCATTCTTCGATATATTTGTGAACTTTTTTATTTTCGCAAATCGAACAATTTTATTTTATGATAAAATTCATAATGAACAAATTTTTTAATATTAATAGACGACAAAGCGGACCAGCAAGTTTGTTTTTAGGGTTCCGTAGTCAACTAGGAACCCTTATAGTTTCGTCATGTCTGTCCGTCTATCCGTCCTCGCTTAATCTCAGTGACCGTTAGCACTAGAAAGCTGAAATTTGGTACCAATATGTGTATCAATCACGCCGACAAAGTGGTAAATAAAAATTGGAAAAAAATATTTTATTAGGATAGCCCCCCTGTATGTAAAGTGGGAAGTGATTTTTTTTTAATTTCAACCCTAACGTGTGATATATTGTTGGAAAGGTATTTAAAAATGAATAGGGGTTTACTAAAATCATTTTTTGATAATGTCAATAATTTCGGAAATAATCGCTCCAAAAGCAAAAAACAATGTTCCCCCCCCTAACTTTTGAACCATAAGTTTAGAAAATATGAAAAAAATCTGAAAAGTAGAACTTTATAAGGACTTTCCAGGAACATAATTTTGAACTTGGATGGAAACAACAGTACCCACTACCGGGAGCAGTTGCAGGAGCGCGGAGCGCTGCTGGGGCGCGAACATAATGGATACCCACCTTTAAACTCATAAGTGGGAACACTTACACGGGAAACTACGAAACCCTATACTAAGCGTGGCCCGACATGCTCTTGGCCGCTTTTTTATAGGATAGGGTGACAAACGAGCACACAGTCCACCTGATGGTACGTGGGACACTCAATAAGTTTTGAGTTATACAAAAAGTATTCTAGACACTAGTAATATTTATTTTACAGCTTTTTAAAATATTCTGTCATGTTCTATACAAAGTTTCATTCGTCTAAACCAACTCTGAAAATACTTATGCCAGTCTTGATCTGACAGGTCGGAAATCAATTCTTCGCCGCTTGAAAAAAACTTGCCTTTTATTTTTTCTTTGACTCTTAGGAACAAAAAAAAAACCACAAGGAGCTAAGTCAGGGCTGTGGGGTGGGTGAGTTAGAGTTTCAACACTAGATTCCTCAATAAATGATTTTGTTCTAAGTTTAGTTAAGTATGTGAAGAGGCGTTATCATGTTGCAGCATAATTCCCCGAAGCCCGGTCTTTAGTCTTCTCTCCCGCACAGTTTGAAAAGCTTTGGGTAATGCAACTGTAGTATACCATTCAAAGTTGACTGATCTACAATTTTCCAGCATTGACGTCGACAAATGTCCGCCCCGCGAAAAAATTAGCCATTTTTTTGCCGACGTTACGAGGTCTATGCTGTTTTGTCGGTAAATGTCCTTCTGAGTAGATCCATACCGATGATTGCCTTTTATTTTTCGTCAGATCATATTGATAGATCCATGTCTCGTCACCAGTAACGATTTCTGAAATACGCCTAGATACCCCGTTTTCAAAACGTAGCCGCATTTCATTGCTGGTGCCAAACTGGTGGTATATTGGTATTCACACGAGTCTGTTTTTCGCTTTCAAGCAAATGACTGATTATCGATATGTGATTCGTGGGTCTTCTCGCACCAACATTTCAGTAGTCCAAACATTTTCTGCCGTTACTGCTGTTTGCGGGGCTCCGGTTCTTTGGTCAACTTGAAGGTTAATTTTACCCCTTTTGAATTCAGCAAACCACCTAAGTATTATTGCGCGTGATAGAACTGAGTCTCCTAATGCTGATTCTAACCGTTCTATACTTAATTGTTCGGTTCAACCAAATTTAAAATCATAATAGATCACAGCACGTAAATGTTCACGGTTAAGATCCATCGTTTTAAATGAAAAGCGCGGCAAGCGTTGCAGGAAAATTAATAGAACTTTGTTTTTTTTTTATATTGAGCGGTTAACTTATGGAGTTCTATTTTTAAATAAATTTGATTTTTAGAAACATAAACACGGGTGCGTTCAATTTTTAACTTTCGAGCATCTCAAAACTTATTGAGTGACCTACGTAAGTTGTTGTTGTAGCCCATAGACATCTACATCTATCCTTAATTACGAATCAGAATGCAGATGCGTTGTCAAGTGGACTAAGATGGAATGACTCGTTTCCAGTAAAAAGGATCTCCGGTTCTCTACACTCTCCATACGAAACACAGCAGTATTAAGCTACTATTTTACGCTGGTATTCTGTGAGAGCGTGGTTCTTCCCCGGTCGGGCCGACCCATTCGTGCTACAACTATACTGCCTAGCTATATAACCGCAGCATGGCTCTACTACGTATAAAATAATATTTTATATAATTTTTTTTAACTACCCGTAATAGTAGATTTAGAACTCCCACTCTTTTGACTTCTTTGACTCTTGGGAACCGGAGCCTATTTTATACAATGGGCGAAAATAAGGTAATATTATACTCCGATCATATCCGATACATATCATCTGATCGCGATAGTATATAAAATATATCTGATATCCGAATCATCCCATTTCGATGTTTTTTTTTAATCTTTGTTTTTATGGCGGATTTATAATGAAGAATAAAAACATGTGTGCAGCTCACACGTGACAGAAGGGACGGCGTCCAGTCTTATCGGAGACAAGCAATCTGTGCAGGAAAGGGTCTAGTTTCTGGTCTCAGGAAAGGGCGTGCCCGAGTGTATGCGCAAGTACAGGTGCACTTTCTATTTCCTCATTCTCGTAGTCCGATGAGGCAGCAAGCCGACACGATTTGAGAGAGATCGGGCGTAGGACCAATGGCTTTATGTGCTTTCCTAGGCACGGAGGTACAATTCTACCAACATTCAGACCCCTGGTTAGTACTGAGAATTTCAGAAAACTTAATTTTTTTTAACTAACTACAGGCTTAAGCCCCGGATCTCATGATCAGCAGTTGCGTTTACAACACGACCACCGAACCGATCGATCGATTTTAAAGACTAAAAAACAACGCGTAATTCAGGCTTTTAAATTATAGTAGTCATTACAAATTTAAGATAACTATAGATCAAGAGAAAGAGACAGCTAGGGCCTAAAATGGCTAGATATATGTCAGGTCACAGGCAGGTGGCATGAGCCACGTTGCAACGAAAATTACGGTTGTATCATGAATGGGAATATCAGCGAAAAATATCGACTTAATGCTACTATGTTTCTGGATATGGTGAGTGTGGAGAACCGGAGACTCGTTTTGTTGGAAACGAGTTAATCCATTTTGTTCCTCAGAGATGACAACACATCTGCATTTTAATTCTTAATCGGGGTTAAATGTAGATGTCTATGGACCACTACATCCACTAAACATCAGGTGTACTGTGTGCACGTTTGTTACCCTTATATATTTATAAAAAAAACTCTTAATTGAGGATGCATGTAGGTTTCTGTGGGCCACTGCATTCACTTACCATGATGTATAAAAAAACTCATATAATAAAGCGAAACTTTGCTATATATATTAGAATATACGTTCACTATACTTTATAAAAGTATTGAGGTCGATATTTACTGTCAATATTAAAATAAGTTGAAGAAGTTGATTATCCACTTTAAAGGGAAAATTTATAATTAAAGCGAGCCCGAAATACGGAGTGACAGACCACACGAACCTAATTTAAACTTTCCTTCTTTCTTTGTTCATCGCTGCTAACGATTCAAAATGCAGAAAGTGTTCAATATTAAAAATATTTCAATTTAGTTTGCTAATAAATTGTGTATAATTACGATCATGAAATAGAATTCTAAATTGTAATGTGTAATGTTTAGGAATAAATTTATAATAAAATAGGAATTACGTAGCAGGCAGTTTAATCGCTCAATGCTGACTAACAATTCTTTCCCTACCCGCTTATATTATTATATTGTCATATTTTAAAAAAAACACCACAGATCCCTCCACTCCCCTCCAGTTATTATAATAGTAAGGAATTATATAAAAAAATGTAAACTATACATTATAAATAGGATTCTTATTTCTAGTAGAACGGATACCCCTTGAATGCTCTGTGACAGCCTCTGTTACTGTGGTTTGTAGCTCTGTGACTGTGGTTGGGCATGGCCTGTACTGATTCTGTGGTGTGGTGATTCTGGAAGAGCTGAATCTGTCAAGACATTATCAGCGGCACTAACTTAATCACTACGCAACGGCATTACCGTCCTCTCCTTTACTAGTTCAAATTCCGATGGAAATGGGCCGCTACTTAAGGAATCGTTCAAAGAATGAGTACTTTGTAAGATATTTTGGATATTTTGTTCTTTCGCTCGTCAGGCCTACCTCAAAATCTCAAAACTAGATTGTACAACCAGTGCGTATTGCCAGTGATGACTTACGGATCTAAGACGTGGTCCTTCACTACTGGTCATATGGGGACGCTCAAGGTCGCTCAGCGAGCTATGGAGAGGTCTATGCTCGGGGTTTCTCTGCGTGACAAACTCAGAAATGATATCCGCAGTAGAACCAGAGTGACCGACATAACCCAACGGATTAGTAAGCTGAAGTGGCAATGGGCAGGCCATATATCTCGAAGAACCGATAACCAATGGGGAAAAAAGGTTCTCGAGTGGTAGCCTCGTACCGGTAGGCGTAGTGTAGGGTTACCCCCCACTAGATGGAGTGACGACCTGGTAAGACATGCCGGAAGTCGATGGATTCAGGTGGCTGAGGACCGTGCTTTGTGGCATTACTCGGGGGAGGCCTACGTTCAGCAGTGGACTTGTGAAGGGCTGTAATGATGATGATGATGATGATGATATATATTTATATTTTGACTTCAAGCGAAGCGAATAAAATACCTTCAATGATGTCATCGTCATTCCCCGTTTAGTTAAAGATTTACATATTCTACGAAGATGCCCTATTTTATGGCACTTCTTATATGAATAACTCACAAATCGACACTGATCTTTGCTATGATTTGAGTAACCGCAAACACTACACTTGTTTACACCACATGAATGCATCGCGAACACATCCTGAGAAGATGCAGGAACGCCTAGTTGTGGGGTGACGCTAGTGCACTGCATAGCGAGTCTTGCACACAACACACTCTGTGCCAGCTTTAGGGTCTTGCTGAAGGTCAAATCCTTGATACTCTCAGCAAATAACTTTTATTTCTCCTTTCCGTTTTTCAAAACCAGGCGAAACGGTCTCTCAATGCCATCTCCAGCTCAAAAATGAAGCAGTACTGAGACAGGCTACATTCTGACTCTCGGTTATTACTGAGAATTTCAGAAAACTCAATAACTTTTTTTGCCTGACTAGAGTCTTAAGCCCGAGACCTCATGATCAGCAGTTGCGTTTACAAGCACGCGAGTAACGAGGCGATCAATTGGCAAATAAATCGCATAGCATACACACAAAATACACTTGAACCGGAACCTTCTCTTCTTTTATACTTTATAAAGGCAGCGGCCTAAGGCGGAATTTAGGCAATTAAATTATAGTTGTCATTCAAGATAAATCAAGAGAAAAAGCTATGGCCTAAAATGGCTAAATATATGGCTAGGTTGCAGGTAGGTGGTTAAAATAGCAGCTTAATTCTATTGTGTTTCTGCATATGATGAGTGTAGAGAATCGGAGATCCGTTTTGTTGTAAACGAGTTAATCCATTTTAGCCCTCATGGGTGACAACGTATCTGGATTTTGATTCTTAATCAAGGTTAAATGTAGATGTGTATGGGCCATAGCATCCACTTACCAGCAGGTGGACTGTGTGCTAGTATGTCAACCTTATTCTATAAAAAATTCTTCATTGAGGATAAATAAAGATGTCTTTGGGCCACTGCATCCACTTACCATCAGGTGCACTGTGTGCTCGTTTGTTACTCTTATTCTATAAAAAAACTTATAAAGTAAAGCGAAACTTCTCTATATATTAAAGTATAAGTTCACTACACTTTATAAAAGTGTTAAGGTCGATATTTATTTCCAATATTAAAATAATTTGTAGAAGTTTTATATTCACTTTAAAGGGAAATTTTATAATTAAATCGGGCTTGAAATACTGAGTGACAGACCACACGAACTCAATTTAAACTTTTCTTCTTTCTTGGTTCATCACTGTTATCGATTCAAAATGCAATAATGTTTAATATTAAAAATATTTCAATTTATTTTCCTAATAAATTGATTATAATTACAACATTTTGATAGAATCAGGCATTACTTTGCGGAAGTCCATCATAACAATTATAATAAAGATATTAATTTGCAACCATCCGCTTAATTGAATACAATGATGTGTCCTGGATTGAAGAGCACCTCCCGCCCTCCCTCAATTGCGTGCACTAATCCCGTTACCACTACTCCCAACACCACTAAAACTACTACTACTACTACTACTACTAGGTAAGACACATCATTGTATTTAACTAAGCGGATGGTTGCAAATTAATATCTTTATTATAATGTTATAATTACAACATCATAAAATGTAAATTGTATTTACATTTTATGATGTTGTTATTGCGTCTCCTTAAAAGCAGGAGGTTCTTGTGTTATGTTGTTTAAGCATGTACTATGTTACGTCATATGTTCAACAATTGTGTACCGATTTAACGATTTTTTATTAATAAGGCTGTATCTTGAGGGTGGTAACATTTTAACGTGAATAAAAAAATCTAATTACATTTAATTTAGTGGCCTCCGCAGTTAGGGCCTTAATTCTTCCATATTATGACAACACTAACATCAGAAGCTATTATACTATTATATGGAAATTACCTAATTTTTATTTTGTTTTTAAATTTTGTTTTTTAGTGTTCGTAATAGATAGATATTTCAAGAAGGTTTTTAAAAAAACACTTGACTGTGTCCGCAAGCTATAACTCTGGAACCATGCATGTTGTGGTTCTTATAGCAATCACTTACTTTTTATTTTAAAGAAATGATTTGCGTTTATCCAGTTAAATAGGCATCACGTGAAGATAAAATGTATTTGCATACAAAGTCGCGTTAACTGTAAAGAATTCGTATAAATATTGTCTAATATTTTAAACTGTCCTTGTCATTTAGTAAGTAATAAAAATATCGTTTTTAACGATGTACGGACGATATTAGAAAATTTATGCATAAATATTAAAATTAGGTTAAAACATTGCGTTTCGCCATTACTGTTTCACAATCTCCTAACTTTGCTTTTGAATTTGATGAGTTACCACTTCCCGTAGGCAAGGTTACCACCGGAAGTTAATAATTACAGACTATCAACACGCTACCTCAGTTAGAAGAGTTTTGGAAACAACGATCTACTTTTAGTTTTTCATGGGAAAGCATGCGAAAAGACGTTGTGTTTGATATGTTTAAAAATAAAGTTAAGTTTGTAAAACCGCTTTATAAAAGACACAGACATATTGATAAAGATAAAATATTGGCTATAAAATTTGATAGTTCGATTAATCTACGAGGCGATGATATTTATGTTGACAGAAATCTAAATGCCGTCAGTGAAATAAATACGCCTACAATAAATAAGTCTTTTAAAAATAAAAATCAGGGAATCACACTGCCCGGTGTGTGTGAGTCTGGTTTTGGCAATGTAAAGTGTTTGGGATTTAAAAAAAGTAATGGCAATGTGAATCATAAAAAAAATTTACGAGGTGATAATTGTTCTGTGTTTGAAGTCGCAAATAAGCGCAAATATAACAAAATGGTAGAAAATGAAATTGACCATCATACAGATGCAAACACTTTAAAAAAAAGAAAACAGTTGGATGTTAATAGTAAACAAATTGTCTTGCACAAGGTAAGAAAACGTTGATTATAAATATATTTATAAAATTTACAAAATTGCAAATATTAAGCATGATTATAAATTTAGTATATAATTCTAAAAAAGTTTTCAGATACATGGTTAAGAGTTTATCCAGCTCCAATTAAACAAGGTGAAAGTTCGTGTTCCGTCGCAATTAGATGCGTTTTTTGTCAATTAGGATTGACTGCAATACTAATAATTTGGAATATCATTTGGATCTTTATAATACATTCCTTTGAAGGTAAAATATTATTTAAATCAGTTATTATGCAACCATCAATATTTTTATACTCTGTTTTTTTTTGAACAATCCAATACTAAAATATTGTTTTCTAAAGGTTGCTTTAAATTTAGTGGAAAATCATCCGAAATTTCATAAGTTATCAACTATGCAGGATAATAATAGCTAATAAGTTGTTAACAAAACACCAGGCACTCTTAATTTCACTGCGTTTGCCAAATCGATAAGAGTCTATTAAAATCATGAAAATTAGTAAAACTTATGTGTTCATATCAAAAGTAGGCTTGGCCGTAGTACTTTTACTTATTCCTCTTCTCTCGCAAATGTGAGTCTTAATGTAAGCGTTATTTAAAATCCAAATGAAAAAGTCTATAATTTTAGCTGTACCTACACTGATATATTAAACTAATCAGGATCGGTTACGGTGAATTAAATAATTGAATATTGGCTCGGCATGCCAATGAATAGATTCTGGCAATGTTAAAAAGGTCTGACATTTTTTGATAATCTATTGAAACCATTGAATACATATAACATATCCCCATATTGTTTTTTCAAGTGCTCACCGTAAATTTTATAGTACTTTAGCGACCCGAATTCGATTTATCACGTATTCGGCGGTGATTTTCCGTCATCACGAGGAAACCTATATGCCTGAGGAATAAAAAAAATAGGAAAACGTGTAAAGATCACCTACACGTGTTGGTGCGGCATGGTGAAATAATTCCTTGAAAAAAAAAGCAAAGTAAGGTAAAGTTACAGCCTATATACGTCTCACTACTGGGCACAGGCCTCCTCTCACTTCCGAGAGGGGTTTAGGGCAAGGAAATGTCCGCCACGCTGCCCCAATGCGTGTTGGCAAATTTCACATGTCTTCGAAATATTTTTTTCTTATTCCTCAAACATGCAGGTTTCCTCGCGATGTTTCCTTCACCGCCGAGCACGTGGTAAATCAGTACTTAAAATTGCAATTAACAATTTCATTGGTGCCGGCGGGGATCGAACCCGGATTACTCGCGTTCCGTTATATTTACAGCGAGCGTTAATCATCTGAGCTACCACGGCTCCTCTAAAACAATCTTACAAATTAGCGGAGACTCGTGTCCAGCAGTGAGACATGTACGCTATCGAGTCCCCACTAAAAAAGATTTACTGATAGCCATTCTTCGTTGTCCACACGTAAAAATAATTACTCTACCTTCTATCAAATGCCATACAGGATTTCTGGAATTCCCTTTCGTGGATTCTTACGACGCTTATGTGATTAGATGTAATAACAGGTTCTCTATAATATGAATTTAAGTAATTGGTGTGGTTCGACACAGTGAGATCTTGCCGTAAATTGACAAAATAGAACTTCAGACATTTGTAGCAAATAAATTCGCGCTTTCAATACTAAATGATTTTTTATCGGATACCTTTAATTGTAATCTTCAAAGATACTGCAATTGTAATTCACTATTACTTTAAAAACGGAATACAGCAGTGCAGTTGAGTTCTACTTAGTAAGTAGATAAAAGTGAAATATGCAGACCGATGGTTGCAGGTGGTTCAGGACTATGTTATAACCAAAGCAATCTATAAAGTTTTAATGGCATCCGAGAGATGGAGGTGCAACCATCTTGTATATAAAAAGTAAAGTTACAGCCTATATACGTCCCACTGCTGGGCATAGGCCTCCCCTCATTTCTGAGAGGGTTTTAGGGCAAGGAAGCGTCCGCCGCGCTACTCCAATGCGTGTTGATGAACTTCACATTTCTTCGAATTATTAAATTTTTTTTTTATTCTTCGACATGCAGGTTTCCTCAAAATTACAATTAACAATTTCATTGGTGCCGGCGGGGATCGAACCAGGGTTACGAGCATTAACCATCTGAGCTACCACGGCTCCATCTTTTATATATTTTATGATATATATTCTATGATCTTGTATATGTCGACTCGACTGTAAAATACTCAGAGTGACGTGTGACCACCGAAGAATGTTATCCCTGCGGCTTGCGGCTCTATAGCGTCCGCTGCGGCGGAAAAAGTATTTGTATACATTTCAAATAATAGTTATCGGGTGCAGGTGTTGGTTCATGTAAAAAGTCTCAACGATACAGAGAATAATCGTAGTATAACGTTAACTACTGCAGCATAATTTTGTTATAAAATAATGGTGAAAAACGAACACAGAGGTCACCTGATTGTAAGTGGCTGCTGTTGCCCATTTACACCTACATTGATCTTCAATTATGAATGAAAATGCCGATGCGTTGATATCCTTGAGAATCAAGATAAAATGCCTCACTTATAGTAAGTAATAAAGGTCTCTGATTTACTGCACTCAACACACGAAACACAAGTATTAAGCTGTTATTTTACGCTTGTATTCTGTGAGAGCGTATTCCTTCCCGACCGAGCCGACCGATCCTTGTTGCAACTATAATAAACCTGCAGTGTGGGTTTACCACATGTAATGTCTGACGGTGGAATGTTAAATGGTTCGGAGTAAAAATTTTAATGTGTGACAATTTTATTTGACAATACAATAATAACAGAGCTTTTCAATTTTAACAATATTTTTAAACTTTCTATTAGGACCAAAAGAAGTTAAGGTAACATTAGAATTTGAGGAAGAACAGAACCAACTTGTCATCGATCTAGCAACAGAACTGCGGCAGGCAAGTATTTTTTCAATATACAGAGTAAAGTTTTTATTTATTCAAGGGATAGTTTTACCTACTGTGGGAGAGGTCTATGGCCGGCTGTGGACTAATACAAATTTATAAACAAGAACACAAAAAAATGTAAAAAGGTCTGTTAGTTAAACATAAAGTTAAAGTTACAGCTTATATATGTCCCACTGCTGGGCACAGTCATAAAATAATAGTATAAAAAGAAAGGAATAGAAATTAACAATGTCTCGCACTCTTTTTTTCGTATACTGAGACTACTGATATTTCAACGCATATTGTCGAGGATGTCAAAGCTCGAAGCTACGCCTATTTATGCGTTCTGCTCCTGGAACATAGGCCTTCTCTCGTTTTTAAGTGTTTAGGGTAAGAAAGTGTCCACTGTACTGCCGCAATACTTTGTTTTATTTCTCAGATATATAGGTTGCCTGACGATGTTTTTCTTCACCGCCAAGCTCGTGATAAATCAGCATTTGTAATTATAATTAACAATCATTAGTGCCGACGCGGATCGAACCCGAGTTGCTTGCATCTGTGTAGTTAAAAGTGAGCGCATAGCCCCTGACCTACCGCGACTTACGGATCTTAAATTATAAGTTCCGTTATTATATGTGTTTCAATAAAAATACGAAATTTGTAATATATTCTTTCTCACAGTCCGTATTATTCTACAAGTAGACATGCCTCCCTATAAGACCTTCCTGAATAATTTAAAGAAACTGCTAGGTAGATTGACGATAGCAGTTCCAGATTTCTCGCAGTCTAGACGCACTCATCGCCGGTGTAGATATTTTACAAAACATGCCGCTTCATCAATTTTCTATCAAGCGGTATATGCTCGTTGGTTACCTTTTTTTAAAAAAAGCAAATTAAAAAGCCGTAAGAGTCTTCAATAATGTAATTATAAATGTCTTGTTTCTTTGTTCAATGACACATGCCATGTGGCTGCGTCGTAGGAGTTTCAGTCACACCCATCGGCCAGAAAGACCTCACGGCTTTCACGGCTTCCGATAAATGGCGGTATAAACATTATATTTACCCTAAATGTAAATACTCAGATTGGTGAAGGGAAGCAGCGTCAATGGTGTAACTTTTTGGTACTTGGAGAAATCGCCAATCCGTCTGTCAATCGGGACGATTATGGCAATGCCATCCTAAAACGGACGAGCCAGTTTCGATCATTGGGCTTTTACGGGCTGATGTGGGAGAAGAAGAAAGTTTTAATTTTCAATAAACGCAAAGGCGACAGAAGTAATTCCAATTATGTTATTTTTTATGGAAGAGGAGGCAAACGAACATACGGCTAACCTGATCGCAAGTGAGCACCGTCGCTTATTAACATCTGCAACATCGGAGGAATTTTAGATGCTTTACCGGTATTTTAGATAGAAGTAGGCTCTTTTCTTAAAGTTTCTATGTCGTATCGGTCCTTAAAAACCGCTGACGACAGTGAATTCCACAGAATGGCCATGCGAGCCAAAATATTCCGCGTAAATCGCACAAGACTGCGATACCGGCACTTTTAAGAACACGCTTCAAGCGTTTTCAAAACACCACTAACTTTATTGTAACGTAGTTAGTGGAAAACGTTTCTAACTTAAATAATATGTAGGAATCCTATTCTATATAGGAGTTCATAGGTGTAGGTGCTACCTTCTTACCTATTTCTTTTACCGTACAGCAGCAATGATGATGTCTTCCAGTATGAAGGCTAAAGAGAGCAGTATAATTATAGGCTGTGAGGTAAATAATTTCAGTTTTTAAAGGTGGAAACGCATTTATAGCTTCCGTTTTTGTTTGAAATTGGTTTCAAATGTGGTGCAGTAGCCACATATTATTAGGTGGATTATCAGCTCGATTATCATCTCAGCTTATTAAGAAACAAAATGATTTTACATCAATTGGTAAAATAGCTATGTGATATAAGATAAAGTTTTCTTTGCGTATGAGAATATTTATTACGCTTACAGACTTAATGGTACTAGACGGGAAGATTTAATCACCCTGTGACAGTTCATCTGGAAATGGGTGGCTCCCACTGTAGTGAGGACGCGTCTTTAAAATGCTTGGTA